GCAAGCTTGGAAAATAAATTATTTATTGCAGTGATTTCTGTTGGGGGGAAAAAAGCTCTCTAGCCTCTGTACTCATCTAAGCTGCTTAATTTTGATATTTGTGCCAGTCTGTAAATGGATCCTTCACTGTAATAACGGGCCCTTACAGGCTGGCTTTGTAGAGAAGCTGGGCCTTTGCACAGCGGGCAGTGATGTGGTTCTTGGCTTCGACAGGCTGTGCTGTGGAGTGAGACCCAGCTGGAGCTGACCCTCAGTCCGTCTTACATACCCCTTCTACAGAGGTATTTTCCAGAGGCCATATTTATCACTGGGCCTTAATGACTATCCACTCGGAACACTAAATAGACCTCCGTTAATCAAGCCACAAGCCTTTACCAAGGGCCAGAGCCTCAGGGTTTTTTTTTTTTCAAATATATGTCCCCTTTTGGGTTCTCCAAGTCTGGTGGGAGTCTGGAAAGGGCTGTGATGGGTGGTTATGGGCTGTCAGGTGCAGAGGGTGGTGTACAGGTTAAGAAGCCTACAGGCCAGCCTCAGGAATCTGAATCCTTCACCTGTCCCCAGCACACTAAGTGCCAGCCTGACCAAAAGTGACCTGCCAAGAGTGGAGCCATCGGCCACTGCCTGCAGGTTGGCACCCCCTTGGGGTGCTGACCATTCTGTGCAGGCTGCTCTTAAAGAGAAATAACTCACAATTGCCAATAAAGTCTTATGTGATCTTATCTGCATTTTTTTCATGCAGAAATAGAGACTTTTGCAAAGAGGCAAAGTAGCTTGTCCAAGATCGTACAACTAGGAACTATTATGAGGATTGAACCCAGGCATCCTGGCCCCAGAAATGGGCCCTCCCTGATGAATGACACGGCCCGGCCTTGCGGGTGTGGCTGGGGTCGCCTGCCCGACTCCAGAGACAGGGCTATCTTGAAACCATCCCCATTCCATTTTTCAGACTGCTTTGTCAGAAAGGTCTTCATTCTATTGAACGGAAACATGTCTCCCCAAGGGTTACATTGATCTTCCTAGTACAACATTTAAAAAAAATTTTTTTTAAAGATTTTATTTATTTGACCAAACAAGTAGGCAGAGCAGAAGGAGAGGGAGAAGCAGGCTCCCCGCTGAGCAGGGAGCCCGACGTAGGGCTCCATCCCAGGACCCCGGGATCATGACCTGAGCCGAAGGCAGACGCTTTACCGACTGAGCCACCCAGGCACCCCGACGTTTTTTTAAATTCTGAACTAAGATTAATGGGAACATGTAAAGATAGTATGAAGGGGCCCCATGTACCCCTCACCCAGTTTGCTCTGTTGTAGCTACAGTAAAATGTCTGTGCTTTCGACATCTAAGGTCTGAGCTGAAAAGAGAGTTCCATTGTGCAGCCCGCCTTGCTCTGAACCAGAGTTGCCATCACAAAGGGTTTCTTGTCTGGGGCAGTGGTGGTGGGGGGTGGGGTGGGGAATCTAGCTCTTAAAGCAAAAAAACCAACTGCGCTGTAGATTTTCCTCCACTGGGCTCAGCCCACAGCTTTGGAGTCAGTTTTCAGCTGACCAACCAAACTGGGGCCTTAGCTTCTCTGTGGTTATTTTCCCGTTGGTCCCCAAGGTGGGGACGTCTGCCTGCCTGTTCACTCAGATGCTTGAGCGCCTACTGTGAGCCAGTGCTATGCCCAGGAATTGAGTGAAGGCCAGAGAGGACTCAGTCTCTCGCCGTGAGCTCAGGTTCCAGACCACGGCCAACAAACAGCCGTGTGATGTGCAGACTGAGAAGACGGCTCTGCCTTGAGGGCAGCACGGAAGATCCGAGCTGTCTGTGCAGCAACCAGGAGGAGGCTGCCAGATGACGGAAGAAGGGAACGCTGTGTCCGGCCGAGGGAGCGCAAGTGTGCACTCGGGACTGTAGTGCGTTCTGATGTGGGGGCATCAGTGGTGGACAGATCCTGGCGAGTCCCAACGTGGCCATGAGGAGCCCTTCATAGATCCTATTGGTTCCTGGGGATGAGACTAACCAGGTGTGTGGCTGTCTCCCCGTCTGTGCCATGTCCCACACAGGATGTCTGTTGTCCACATCAATGTGAAAGACCTCTGTTTCCAGCCTACGACCTCCACCATTTGAGAACCCTTTAGTGTGGTTGGTTTTGACTAGAACAGTGTCTCGAATCTCCCAGGGTGGATTAGCTTCATAATGCACCCTGATTGCATGCACTGACCTATGGGTAAATTAGCAAGGTTCAGTTCCTGTTGGAGGAGTTTGCCCCATGCAGTGAGTTGAGTTGTGAAGGAACTGATGCTGCGCGGCTCGGTGATTTCTCCGACAGTTACGGCTGCTTCCTCAGCCCTGTGCTGGAGGCAATGCACTGTGGCATCAGCCTGAACCAGGAGGCTCACCTGCCCCACAGCTGTTGCTGGGGTCAGGCATCCTGTTCTTGCTGGCCCTGAAGAGATAGTTGAATGTGAGTTTTATAAAAAGGTTTGGGTGCAGCCCTGTTTGTCACTTATAATCGGAATTTCTTCCATCCAAAGGTTCCTCCTGGCCCTGATTTTGGTGGTAGTGGTCTGATGCTAACTTTGAAGAGGCCCTGACATCCTAGATCACCAAGTGGCTGACCGACAGCTCTAACTATGGGTTATGAGTCTATGGTAGGAGGATGACCAATGAAAAAAGGGGTCATTCCAAAGTGGCAGTGTTTCAGAATCAGACTAGGGTATAATCTGGGTCCATCTTAGGGAAGTAGACTGGTGGAATTCATCCAAGTAGCCCCTCGAGGACCGGTACCTACTGCCTAGGGGACAATCCAGTGGCTCCCAACTACACATTGGGCTTCAAACACTGAAATTTAAAGCAGACAGGGTAAAAAAAAAAAAAAAATTTAATAAAAGTAAAAAAATAAAGCAGGCAGGGTGTAGACTGCTAACCTGGCCATCGGCACTGCATCGTGAGGGGAATATGTATCTATTCGGGTGTGGAGCTGCATGGCTCTGCTGACGGTGGCCTCAAGCAGTGCCGTCCCCGGCCCTGACAGCAGGATCCCCCCCCTTTTTTTAAGACTTTATTTGACAGAGACATAGCGAGAGAGTGAACACAAGCAGGGGGAGTGGGAGAGGGAGAAGCAGGCTTCCCGCCGAGCAGGGAGCCCAACGTGGGGCTCGATCCCAGGACCCTGAGATCATGACCTGAGCTGAAGGCAGACGCCTAACAACTGAGCCCCCCAGGCGCCCCAGCAGAATCCTCTTTATGGGGCTGCAAAGAAGACCCTTTCAGACAAGCTCGGGCTGAGAGGCAGGGGTCACTGGGAAGAAGCATATGGAGCGTGCAGCCCAGGGGGGCTCCGCTGGCTCTCCCAGTCTCAGACCTGAAACACACAAGGCGGCTTTGACCCACCTAAAGCAGTATTGGTCCTTGTCACATTGTGGGTAAGTGCTGGGGTCACTATTCACCTTCCCCCCCCTGTTCTCCAGCAGGGGGCCTGCACTGCCACCACGCTCCCCTCTTCCCTAGCCCCCCTCCCCTCCTGCTTTTGTAGATGGCTGCCTCGCCTTCATCACCTCCCTCACCTCCTTTGCCCTGTATGCTTGCTGGATTCTTTCACCTGCCCAAGAGAGAAGGACCCCTGGCTGCCACCCAGCTGGCGGAGCAGGGGCTGGGGCACCCCCACTGCCACAGCAGGGAAGCCCCCAGGCCTGCTCTGTGCTCCAGTCCAACCTTGGGCATGGTGCATGGGAAGATGCACGGCCTGCAGGAACCCAAAACAGTGCCATGGGCTCTGAGTGCCCCTTGAAGTATTGTTTCAGTAACCTTGCTGCGATGGTTTTTCCTGACCATATTCCTCAAACCGAGAAATGCCTGGTACAGAAAAAGGGGCTGGAACGAACAGAAATGAGAGCCCTGGGATGATTCCGGGTCATGAAGCTACTTCATCTGAGAATGGTCGCCTTCAGTGATGACGTGAATGTAAAGCCCCAGACCCTGTCTCTGCAGGCTCTGCCCAGACCCTGGGAGGGCAGTGACGGACTGTCCAGGGGCCCGAGAGGGGGCCCTCCCGTTGCCCACAGTTGCACCCCAGACAGCCCAGCCCCACTGTGACAGCCCCCACTACCATGCCTGTTACTGCCTCCCCCTGGGTTCGGGCCCTTTGAGGTCCCTCTGCAACCCACCCCACTAGCGCCTGGCCCATGTCCTAGAAGGTGCTTCCCGTGTGTTGGCTGAGTGAGTGATGGAGAGGCAGAGCCCAGCCTCGCCCTCTGTGGCATTTGTAATTTGAAGCTCACTGGAAGCAACAGCCCCCTTGCCAGCCTGCCTAGGCTCTTTGCCCAACCACCCCACTTCACTGGATCCCTTTGGTTAGTCCTGGAGACGGATTAAGACCAGGACCACAGGACCAGCCAGCAGCCAAGTGACCCAGCCAGGAGCGGCTGCCTCCCACCATGCAGGCTGCTGGCTTCCTGGCCAGCGAGGTCAGCTGCCTGCTGAGCCCCCTCCTGGGGCGACGCAGGCCCCACCCTTCCTCCTCCTTAGCCCGGCCATTTGGCGGCTGAGAAACCGGAGGTTTGGAGAGATTTAACACATTTGCCCAGGGACCCACTCCAGCGGCCAGCTCCTTGGGGACGCTGGGATTTGAACCCAGGTCTGTGGCGGGTGTACCTGCGGCTCTGAGACTTCCTTCTGTCCCCTGGGGCCGAGCTCTGCAATCGCTGTCGCCGAGAGGTGGGACCGATCTTCCTGCGAGCCTGGGGGGGGGGGGCGCGCGTATCGCGAGGCCCGCGCACAGGCAGAAAAGGGGGCGCCGCATCCAGAAGAGCCTCGGAGCGGATGCGCCACAGCTTGCGCCCCTGCCGCCTCCCCGCATCCCCTCAACTGTGACCCCTACTCCTCCGCGCCCCGTCCCTGGCCCAGCTCACCAAATCCCGGGCGCCTCCTCCCCGGACAGGCTCCCCCGCTCCCCGCTTCCCCTCTCCCCACACTCTTTCACTCCCTTGGCCCTCTCCACTCCCCAAATCCCCGGGTCCCGCATGGCCTGGCTGGGCGCGCTGCTCAGCTTTGCGCTGCTGGGGGCCGCAGTGGCCCGCGACCTCTGGTACGTCCTGGGGGTGGCGGACGCTGGCAACAGCACGGGGCGCGCCGCGCGGCTGTCCTCGCACTCGGGGCGCGACTCTGGCGCGTCTGCGAAGGTAGGGCAGCGGCGGGCCGGGGCGCCCCCTCGTGCCCCCACTCCCCATCCCGGACCCTGTCCTCTCCCAAAACTGGGCAGTGACAGTAGGGCTACCCGTCCGGGCTCAGAAATGAAAGGGTTGGGGGGAGGCATTGCGTGGCCCCATAAGGACCCAAGAGCCTGGGGAGCAGGAGCCCCAGGCAGTCCCTTGTCCTCCCTGGGGGGGGCGGGGGTGTCTTATGTTAGGAGTTGCGGGCACATGACTTGGTAGATGACAAGTCAACCCCAGGCTCTCAGTGGGCTCTGCCATGGGCTGCTGCCTGACCTAGGACCTCGTCCCTCCTTCGCCTCCAAGTCTTCGTCAGATGGGGAGAAAGCGATACTTCTCAGGGTGCAAACGGGTGGGGGATGGTTGGAGGAATGAGGGGGGAAAGCAGGGGCAGGGCCCGCCACCCAGGGCACTGGGCTGCTGTTCTTCCTCAAGCAGGGGTGTGGGCGCTGAGGTGGGAGCGGGTGTGGGGCGCTGGGGGCCTCCGGGAAGGCCCCGGGTCCACATCCAAGTGACCACGAGTTGTTTCTCAATTGCTGTCCCCAGAGGTTCAGCCTGGCACAGCCAGGGCTCTGGGGTAAGACCCCTGTTTCTCTCCACTTCCCCCCCCCCCACCACCTGACGGCTTGGCGCGCACTTGGGCACCAAACAGGAGTGCTGCATGCCTTTCGGACCCGCAGAGAGAGGGGAAGGCGTTCCCTCCACAAGGCCTGTGTGACGGGGCAGCCAGCAGGCTGGGGGCCTCCCCTGCACAGGAACAGCACTGGGGGGCAGCAACGCCTGGGAGAGCGTGTGAACGCGTGCGTGCATGCATGTGAGCCTAGGGCAGTGTGAGTGTGAACGTGTGTGCATGAATCTGAATGTGTGAGCATGTGTCTAAGAGAGTATGTGTGTGTGCATGTGAGTGTATGTGTAGGTGACCATGAGTGTGCGTGTGCACATGCGTGCATGCGCATGCGTGACCATGCTTTCCTCCGTGGCAGCTGGGGAGGAAAGATGAGCTGTTGGTTCAGCCACTGAACAGACTGGGCCTAATGCTCCCAAGTCCTCCTGGCGTGTGCACGTGTGTGTCTGCAAATGCAAGTGGGTGTGCATGTGTGTGTGCAAGAGTCAGTCCACATTACGCGCACCTTTTCCTGTCCAGGCAAAGCCACACGTGAGCATGCTCAGGGCCCCAAGCCTATGGGAGTGCTGAGGGCAGCATCTCTCGAATGTTTGTGATTTTTAGACCGACATCCACGTAGGTATTATTTGTATGTTACAGAAACAAAACAGAAGATCTTAAACCCTCCAAACCCATTTGGAGCCACAACTCTGGGGTCCAGGAGAGAATCTGACGGGGCTCCTTGGCCACTGGTCAGCCCACTGGGTTCTGGCAGGGGTGAGAGCATGCTGTCCAGCGTGCCTGCAGGACCACCCATCTCAGAGAAACTCAGGGTGGGTGGTGACCCCACAGGTGTCCAGCCCACCAGGCTTTGTGTCCTTTCTGCTTCTTAGGGCAAAACAGCTGCATCCCCCTGATCGGCCCCTTTGCCAGTGAGACCTGGATGTCCCCACCTCCGTGCAGCACATCTGTGAGTCCTGCGGCTGAGTCATGCCCTGTCTGTCCTTAATCTCCAGGCAAAACTGTCCTGTGAAGGTGGACCTCCAGGCAGACAGGGCCCTGAAGTGCTCACTTGGAGCTGCTTGGGGGGTGGAGGCAGGTCCAGGTCCCTGCCTGGACGCTGAGCCCCCTCTCCTGGCAGCCCTGCACCGAGCTGTCATGGTGGTCCTGCCCCTGAGCCTCGTCCTTGTCGTGTGTGGCTGGATCTGTGACCTCTTCAGTTCCCTGGCACAGAGCGTCCTGCTGCTGTTTTTCACCGGCTGCTACTTCTTGCTGGGGGGTGAGTGTGGGTGCCCTGGAGGGCACGGGTCCTGGGAGTGAGGGGGTCTCCTCTCCTGCCCCCCTGTCCTCGGCTCCCATCTGGCCTGTGCTGAGCCTGGGCCCGCCCAGGGGATTCAGCCGCAGCAGGCGAAAGCCCCTCGGGTAGTACTGGGCCTTTTTAGGGACAGGGGCAGGGGTGCTGGCTGTGGGCTTCGAGCCAGGGAGGCTAAGCTTCTAGGCACGGGAGGCATGAGGCTCCCCAAGGCGATCCTGCACCTGCCCTCCTACACCTGCACGAGGGGCATGAGACCGGCCCCCTTCCTCCCCTGTTCTCCTGCCCTTCACTGGCCTGGTGGGATGGAACAAGAGAGGGCAGGCCCGGGCAGGAAGACAGGTGGAAAGGGGCCTCGCAGCCCTTGGCAGGGACCCCGGCCCAGGCCCAGAGTGTGACTGGTGGCAGTTCCTCAGCTGACATTCATCTAGACGCGGCTGGGCGCTGGCCAGGCACTTCCTCGGGGCTACAGCCATGGCCCCCCTGTGGTCCCAGCTTCCTGAGATGTCCAAGGATTCACCAAGGTCAGCAGGGAGCTTGTCCCAGGATCCCGTGCCCCCCGCTTTGGTGCCCCCTGTGCCCAAGGCCGGCTGTCACTGATGGTGGGCTGGGGCTCCTTGGGGTCAGTCATCAGAGGCCTGTGCTGTTGGGGGCGAGGCCTGAGCTGGGTCTGGCATCCGGGCCAGGTCTACTGTCAAGGCCATGGCACTTGAGGCCCAGACCACATGGGCCTACGGCTCCCTCTGGGGCAGCCCTGCCTCCTCCCCAGAGGGTGCTGGGCCCTGTGGGAGGCCTTGGTCAAGTGGGAACGGGCGGACCTGCCTGGTGCCGAGAGCCTGGGGGACCCGCAGCCTGGGCGTGCGCTGTAGAGAATGAGAGCGGGAGAAGTCACCATGTCAGCTGTGGCCTGGCCCCAGACACCGGCTGTGTGGCTCCAAATCCAATTAAGAGGAGCTTGGGAAGCCAGGGAGAGGAACAATGGGGTGGGATTGTGTCCAGGAAGCCTTGGCATTATGCTCTCAGAAACATGGCCCGGGCCAGTGGGTGGAGGGAGGGCCCGGAGGCAGCTACTCAGGGGCCCTCCTCTTCCAAGGGCCCTGGTTCAAGGAACACCCCACCTGCTCCGCGCGCCCAGGGTCCAGCCTGGCTGCTGTCCCCGCGGGGGCTGCTTCTTGGCAGTGGGTCAGCTGACATCACTGTCAGCACTCTGTGCAGCGCCAGGAGGAGAGTGTCAGCGTCGGGGACACTGATGGGAGCAGGCGGGGGGTCGCAGAGCTTGGGGGCAGGCAGGAGGCCTGCAGAAGCTGGAGGCTTAGGCTAGGGCCAGAGGAGCGGCAGGGGTAACCCAATGAAGTGGGGGGCACTGTGAGGAAGGGGGGCCTGGCCAGAGCTCCAGAGCCCCCCGACTGCCAATGGAGGTCACTGGCTCTGTGTGTGTGTGTGTGTGTGTGTGTGTGTGTGTGTGTGTGTGTGTGT